AACCTTGGGATGGTTAGGAGGTAACATTATTTAACTGCTAATGCACACATTGTATGTTTTGCCTTGGCAAACTGAACAACATATCTCAAAGCCATTAAAAATGTTAGTGGAGATTCTATCTTAATGCCATATTAATTCATTAATTCAGCCAACATACCTAGAGAAAAACCTAGAACCTTTATGTTTACTAAGGTCCAAAAGCTTGATGAGTGAAAACATGACTCTCATATTTGCAACAGCAAGTTTGAGGCCTAAATTTATAATCACACCTTGTGACTTTTTTTCCCTGAGAACCTTTATGCTAGCCAAATAAAATCTAGAAAAGTAGTATGACTCACCAAGTTTAGGTTCTTAAAAGAGCATAAAGAAAGATCTCTGTTCTGGCTCAGAGAATTACAAAAGGCCTAACAAAAGTATCCTAGAACAAACATTACTCAAAAAAAAAAATCGAGACCAACCATAGCAGAAATTCTTAAGTTGAATAAACAATAGAGATAGCAGCAGAGGACAAACAGCTAAAGGCCATTGTGAGAGTGCAACACACAACCAATAGTTTGCAGCTTATATAAACTTGGTCTTTTCAAATCTTGGATAGAGCTCAAACAATGAACTGCAGGGAAAAGACTTCCGGCTCGTCAAATGAGGCTATGTCCAAGGCAAGAATGCAAATGCCTATGTAACATTAATATTGACACAAAAATACTATAGTTTGTTTTGCGGTTTGTTCAGTAAAACGTTATTTTCCACTTATGTAATATTTATTTGAACATATAAGGTATGTGGTTATTAGCATCAAGCTGAAATAATTTCAATGGCAACACATTGATTCTTTTTTCTAAAGTTGATGTAAAACTTTTACCTAAGTTTTAGATAATTACTTCATAACTAGTTTTTTAATGTGTGATAAATCCATAGAGTACTTTTCAAAATTGCACACATTAAAAAAAATATTTTGCCTGGCCTCTCTTCATTTCTACATTGTTTACCACAATTAAGCTTGGAACTCATAATGCATTATTATATCAATACTACAAGCAAATTCTTTTTGTTGTTAGTTTTTAAGTAATTCTTCAGTAACTATTTAGAAATCAGCAAAATTTTCTTTATTAGAGGATAAAATATGTGAATGATTTTAATGCAAAGTTGGCTGTTTCTATTTCTTTTGAGGATAGAAAAATAAGGAGGGTCATCTCAAAATAAATATTAAAAAACACTTTGAAAACTAAAAAGTGATACTTTTGTCTTAATTTCAGAGGAAAGATTTTGCTTGCCTAAGTTATTTTTACTGCTATTTTCAGAAAAGTTTACATGTTAGTAATAGTTTACATGAAGCCAGGTACCCATGGCTCACGCCTGTAATCCTAGCTACTCAGGAGGCTGACATCTGAGAATAATGGTTCAAAGCCAGCCCATGAAGGAAAGTCCATGAGACTCTTATCTCCAATAAACCACTAAAAAACTGGAAGTGGCGTTGTGGTTCAAGCAATATAGTGTTCGCCTTGAGCTAAAGAGTGCAGGGACAGCACCCAAGCCCAGAGTTCAAGCCCCACGACTGCCAATAAATAAATATATCAGACACATGAAGTGAAAAATCAGTATTTTCTAGCAATATGTAATTATAGTTTCATGAAAATACTAAAATATTCAAAATATATGCAAAAACATGCTTGCAGTAATAAGGTTAAAATAAAGTTGAAAGTCAGCTTTTGCCTACCATTGATAAAAATTTTCACAATTTTCCATTGTTTTTCTTCTTATCTTTCCAGCATTTACAAGTGGATTTCCTGGTATAATAGCTTCAACTAGAATTAAGTTTCTGTGCATTTTTTCAAGTTTTAAACTTTAGAAATAGTTTTTTTAATTTAATTTTATTTTTTTGTGAACATACTATACAGAGGGGTTACAATTACATGGGCAGGATAATGCATAAATTTCTCATCAAGCATTGCAGCCTTCTCCTTTGTTTACCCTTCACATCCCTTCCCTACCTCCCCCCTACCTCCCCACCACCCAATCCTCTCCCCCCCCCCCCGCCCCCCACCAACATTGTAAAGCTGGTTTTCGACATGACCTTGTACTTCTCATTGTTGCAACAGATCCACCTGTATCCTTAAATGACTTGTTTTTCCCCATCTCCTCCACAAGTTATACTGACATAAAATATAGTGAAAGCAGGGGTTATACTGTGGGGGAGGGACATACAAAGCAACAAAGAGATAATCTTATAAATGCGTTAGAAACAAATGCATGAAATAAAAAAGCATTAAAATACATATCTAAGGGTTCATTTTCCTAACATCACATTATCTGACCTTTTCCGCTTGACTCACATACTAGATATTGCAAACAAGGGAAACCATGGGACCTATGTTTCTTTGGGCCTGGCTTACTTCACTTAATATAATTTTTTCCAAGTAAAACTTTAGAAATAGTTTAAAGTACTAAATTTCAGGTATACTGCCTGAAGGTCTGACTTTTCTGACTCAATACTTAGAAATTCCTGAAATTTTTCATCAAAATTTGCTCATTTTCTACGATCTGAAGATGTAAGCATTTCTTTTCTGCATTCAAAGCAGTGTAAGATCTCTCTTACTTTAGAAAGTACATAGCATTATCTTTGTTTTTAATTAGTAACAACCAAAATCATCTCAAAAGAAAACACATAATAGTAGCCATCGGCTATTAACTTTAAATTGTTTACTATTTCACGCATGAACTAAAGGAGAAACTAATTTATCTAATTACAATAATATACAGTAGCTGTACCTATACATCATAATGCAAGAAAGTTAGGAAAATGTTTTTATCAATGGTCAAGTATACACAGAATAAAATACGTGTATAATTAAATGTATTTGAATATCATTTATATGTGAGGTGCTTTTTCCCAACCTTCTATCCTTGATAAATGTTTTAGTTTAGTGCATACAAGTATAGAGGCATTAACACATGCAACATGGCAGTGACAGAAAATATGGTTCTTCAGCAGACAACATCTGTGTTACACACATGGCCTTCAAAATAATCATAGCATGCTTTTGTGACACCAAAAGAGTCCAAGCCTGGTGTGAAATGATTACTTCCAACCAAAGCCTGCTTAAATTATTGTTTAGTTATATGGCATACAGCCAGAATAACAATATTATAAAGTTGATGGTGCTTTTAAATTACTTCACAATTTTCAACTTGTTAGTAAAACAAGATAAGCACCATTTGGGTTATTAAAAATGATTATGGATCAGGACTTTTGATTCCTGTTTCTTTGACAAAATTGTTTCTATTTGATCCCAAGACTTGCCTGCTCTCTTGACAGAATAATGTACATACTGCACAGCTGAAAGGAGCATGGCTTTCATGATTAAATAGGAAGCTCACACCACAGATGACTTTAGACTCCAGATGAGTTTAGACTTTTGCACTTCAGAAAGATCTCTTTGTTGTTTTAATATTGGATCATCACTTATCTTTTTCTAATTGTTTCCACTCACACACCACAGTCTACGTATCACCAAGAACAGGGCGTTTATAATTTTATTTTATTCTATTCTATTCACATAGTACACCATAGAATGTTCCATCATCTTGTAAGTTCCTTCCCAGATCTCATTGAGCTGGCCAGGGGCGTGTTTGGGAACATAAAAGTTGAAAATATCAAATGAACATTGTCTCCCAAAAGGGTCTATGTTATAGGTCACATAAGAACACACCAAATAAGAATTGGATTGGATTTTGCTTATTAATAGTAAATGCGGAAATAATAATATCTTAGACAACTACCTCAATTAGGAAAGAGTTCACAATAGTATAGCTTTGATTGACTTTGCCCAGTTTCTCCTACAAAAGGCTCATACCTGTGAACTTAGAATACTATATACCCAAAACAGCCACAATTGTGCCTGCGATTTCTAGCCAGGAACAATTAGCTACCCTAGTGTGGGTAAAGTTATGTAAAAGTGGATTCGCATCAGGAAATGCCCAGGGCTTCCTCCTTCCCACCGCCCCCGCCTGCCCCCTACCCCCACCCCACATCACCATTAGGATTAGATTCTGAAATGACAGGACTGGGCCAGGACACTTAGCATCCAGGCCTTGCGTTTCCCAGTCCAGCCAGCTCTAGCAAAGGGGGGCGGGGGTTTTCTTTCACCAGCCTGGCCAGGCCGCCCTTATCTAAAAATGCCTTAGTGATTCAAACTGAAGGGGAAGGAAAACCAAACAATAAAACGCCCGGGATTCGGTCCTCCGCTGCAGTTACAACTGTGGGGAGGAAGGAAAACGAGCGCGCAGGCGCAGCCTCAGGTTGTCAGGTATAAACTTAAGCAGGCGTCTGAATGAAGGAAGTGGATCAGGGTAGGGGTGCTCCTCAGGCTTTTTGTTTGGGCTCTGTTGTTAGTAGGAACTGCACCTTGAACGACTACAAGCCGGGGCGCAGTTACTCCGGAGTGCTTTGAGAAATGGGGAGGTGGACGGGAAATTATTGTTTTCAGTGCAAACGTTAATGCATTACTTAGCGATAAACTAGAGGAACCTCGTCACCCACCGAGACCCGGGGAGCTAGGTGACTTCCCCAGGAACGCTATCAAGGGAAGCAGAGGAAAAGAAAGAAAAGAAAAGGCCCTCCACAGGGCCTATAGGAATCATGCCTTCCACGGCGGGGTGGAGTGCAACCTGTCTTATTCCATTCTGAGCCTCTCCGGGGGCTTCCAGGGGCCTAAATGCGTCTGGAAGAAATGGGTGGTGGGCAGCTGTCCCCGCTGCAGGGCGGTGAGTCTCGGCCGGGAGTGGGCGCGTTCGCTAACCTCTGGGACGTCAAACTTACTTTACCAGGACCTCGAAGTTCACCAACCCGGACACGTCCGTCCTCCCTCGGTCTGCGCTCAGGGACAGCCGGCCCTCCCGGCTCCCCGCACACAAAGCCGAGGACCCGGGAGCCCTCCGGGCTGCCAGCCTGCCCCCCCACACACACACACACCCCGCCCGGAACGCTTCCCGGCCTCACTTACCTTGATGCCCTGTTGCTGGGTAGTGAGGGTTAACTTGGATTCATCCAGGAGCAAAACTTCGCAATAAAATTCTTCCGGAACAGCGCAGAAGCAGCCCATGTCGGCTTGCCACCGTCTGCAGCCCGGAGAGAAAGCGGCGACCCAAGCGCCCAGCCGCCCCCTCGCCTCACGCACGGAGCATTAACGTCTCGTCCGGACCGGAGCCGGAGCCGGGGCGGGAGGACCAGCGAGCGGCTCCCGGTGGGCTCCGGGAAGCGGGCCGGGCGGAGCCGGCGGGGCAGGTCAGCGCCCGGGCGCCGCCGGGGAAGCACGGGCGGAACTGGGCGCGGAGGGCGGCGGCGCGTCCCCGTGCATCCTGCAGCTCTGGCTCCTGAAGGCAGGGGCGACGCGGCTCCTCCCGCAGCCCTGGGAACGACAGGAGTGGCCGGGCAATGGGGGAGTGAGGGAGACGGACACACACACAAGGAAGGGACAAAGGCGAGACACCCTCCCCGGACTGGAAGTCCCTAGACGTTCGGTCGCTCCCTCCCACCCACGCCAGGTCAGCCGCCCGCCGCGACGCACCGGCCGCCCCTCGGGGCGCGGAGTCTCCCGCGGGCGCGCACTTCCAGAGCCGACCCCGCCCCGCGACCCCACCCCCACCCCGCCCCGGGCCCCGGGTCGGCTGAGGGTAGGGTTTCTCTTTTGTATCGGCCACACGTCCCATTCAAGGGCGCGGGGGCAGAGGCGAGGGTCGACCACCCCTCACGCCCCAACCCTCGGGCAGCGAGAGGCCGGAAGAGGACTGGAAAGGGCAGCGGGGCTGCTTACCGAAACCAGCGAGGGCAGGTCAGCTCGTCGCGGGGTGCGCTGGCCGTCTAGGGGCTCCCGAACTCATCACGGAAGCTGGAGGGCCGCGGGGGGGGGGGGGGCCGGGGGGAGGCAAGTTCAAGCTCTCCCTCTGGGCACGCCCGGCCGCCGAATAGGAGCGCTGCTTCGGCCGAACATTCAGGAAAGCCGGGAGTCGGGGGTATCTGCGGGGTGGAGCCGCGGGTGCGGGGCTGGTTGCGCCGCGCGCTGCGGCCGGGGGTGCGCCCCGGGCGCACGCCAGGCCCCGCAGGCTCCGGGGAAAGTTCTTTTGGCAGCGCGAGAGGGGGCGCCCCGGGCGGAAGCAGCCCAGGTACTCCCGGGCCCGGCCCTGGCGTGGGCAAAAGAAAGGCCCGCAGCGACGCGGCAGCCCCAGGACCTCAGCCGGGAGCCCGTCAGCTGGGGACGGAGGGCGGAGCGGCTAGGTGCCGCCGACAGGTCTCGTCGAGAGAACCGCGCGCGGCGAAGCGCCGGAGCCCAGCGGCCGTCGGGAGGTCGCGATGTCCGTTTCCCTGGGAGACCGGGAGGCTGGCTCCGAGAGGGCCGGGTGCAGTTGTGCTCCCACCCACCCAGCCTTGGGCGAACCCAGTCCCACGCCCTCCGCGCGGCCCGCCGCCGTCAGGACTGGCGGGCACAATAGCTCTGAGGCTGCAGTGACCCCTGGTGGGTCCCCGTGTCCGCGCACAGGCAACGAGTCTGAGTTAGGGCCGAAACAGACTCCGGGAGCAGGTGCAGCCGGTGCACTCCAGCTGGGAACCAGCAGGGAGTCACAGTTCAGAGGAGGCACCTGGGGAGGACGTAGAGCCGGGTGGACTTTGGGCCTCCCAGAAAACGTCTCTGCTCTATACTAAATATTAGAGCAAAAACTTTTGCGTAAGGCATCGTTTTTGAATGCCCTCCTCTCCCACCCATTAGCTTGGGTAATCCGAGCTAAAAGAAAAAAGAAAAGAAAAAGCTTAAAAACCCTGGGAAAATCTGGGTGCCTGTGGCTCATAATCCTAGCTACTCAGGAGGCTGAGATCCTTGAATCGTGGTCAGCCTGGATAGGTTATCTCCAATTAACCGCCAAAAATACAAGTGTGGCTCAAGTGATAGAACACCAACCTTGAGCAAAAAAGCTGAGACAGCACCCGGGCCCTGAGTTCAAGCACCAATACTGGCACACGCACACACATATCAGGAAGGTAGTGCTATTTAAAAAGTGGTTTCCACAGCACAGTAGAGATAAAGTGAACAGTTTGCAACATGAGGCGGAGTGAGGAGAGGAGGGGGTTTCCGATCTCTAGTGATTTGTGGAAGCCTCATTCTTCCCTGACACGGTGGCCCCATCTAAAAGCAGATCGCCACTTTTTGTTTCCAAAGTACAAAATAAGGTTCGTGTTTGGCATGAACTTTACCTTTTGTAAATAAAACCTATTTTATCTCTCAGGATTTCTGTGACATTGAAGCAGGTTTTGAAATTCAGCATCAACTTCAGGTTTTATTGCAAGGTTTTTTGTTGTTTTTTTTTTTTTCTTGTTTCTGGGCTGACACCTTTCAGTTTTAGTTTCTCTGGGTGTGGAAGCTTTGCTGTTCTAAGTAGACTTTCCCTAACACAAGTTACCAAATGTGATTGGAAGATGTAATGAATTTTTATTCTTTACCACAATAGTCAACTGAGCCACATAAACTTGCAAAAACCAAAAGTACAAACATAATCTTTTTTTCCTAGTTTGCATTTCACCGCCCCACGTTTTATAACCCTTTGATTTGGGTGTGTGTTTGCTGCTTTACTTCTGATAATAATGGAAAAGGTAAGCCAGGAATTCTGTTACCAGCTCCAAACAGAGAAAGGTTTAAAAAAAAAAGCATTGTCATGACACATGCAAGATGCTCTTTGCTAGGTGAGCCATTTTCACTTCTAGCTCTTTAGTAAAGACTAGAAAAAAGAAAAACTTAAATCTCTTCAACAAAAAGTTGGAGCTTTTAGAGAGAAGATTTCACAAGCGTGGCACCTGTGGCTTCTGCCTGCAATCCTAGTTGTTCAGGAGGCTGAGACCTGCAGGCTCAAGGTTCCAAGCCAACCTGAGCAGAAAGTTGGAGAGACACCATCTTCAATGAACCAGCAAAATACCACACTGGAGGGATAGTTCAAGTGGTTGTGTAGCAGCCATGAGCAAAAAAGTTCAATGAGAGTGAGGCACTGAGTTGATGTCCCAGTACTGCCTTGAAGTCTCACACACACACACACACACACACACACACACACACACATACATTTCATGATTCCATAGACTTTTTAACAGTATTATTGAGTATAATTGGCATGCCATAAACTACATATATTTAAGGCAAACAATTTAGTAGGTTTTGACAAATGTATACATCTATAAAACCATCACCTGGTAAACATGTCCATCACTGGCTAAAGTTTTCTTCCACACTCTTGAAATCCCTCCACACTTCCCAAGGCACCACAGATCTGCTTTCTGTAACTAACCTATAAATTACCTAACTTTCTTGAGTTTATATAAATGCAATCACATGTTGTCAAGTCTTCTTGTCTGGTTTGTTTCACTCAGTTCAATTATTTTGAGATTTATCCATGTTGTATATAGAAAGAGTTCACTCAGTTTTATTTCTTCGTATTTTATTGTGTGTTACACATTTATTTTCCCATTCATTTTCATGGTTTTTCAGTTTGGGACAATTACAAATAAAGCTTCTATACAGCTCATAGTTGTCACCTCAGGTAGCCCAAACAAAACAGCATAGACTGGGTGGCTAAAACAATTTTTTCCAGAGGCCATAAGTCTATGGTCATTGTATCATGGTTCATTGCTGCTTATAGACAGCTTCCATCTTGCTGTGTGTTCACGTGATTGCTTCTTGGTGTGTTCAGGAGAGGGAGGGAGGAAGAAGGGAGTAACAGAGGGAATGTGTTTGAGCACCTGGGATGTATCATAAAGACACAAATCCTTAGTATCAGGGTACTACCCTTATTTCATTTAATCTCCTGTCTCTAAATATAATCATTATGTTAGGGTTTCCACATAAGAATCTGAAGAGATGCAACTGGATCTATAGTAAAAATCCATGTCTTAATATGAACTTGTTATTTCTTTTTAAATAAAAATTGATATGACTAGATCAGAAGATAGCCAAATGACAGATAAGCACATGAGAAGATATTTGACATATTAGTCATTATGGAAATGCATGTTATAAAATGACTGTAAAATACGACTATACCCCTACTGGGATGGCTGTCCTACCACAGATCGGCTTTGCTACCATACTATGGCACCATACCAAGCATTGGTAAGGACAAGGGACGAGAAGAAACTGGAATTCTCAAACACTGTTAGGTGTATATTACACACTGACTAATAGTTTGGTAGTTTCTTAAAAGCTGTACATAACTTTCCACAGAATTTGGTAGGAACATTTTCTCTGCCTAGCCAGAGAAATGAATTAACAAGATACTATTGAAACTCTTTTATTAGAAAAATCACAGAGCCTTTCAACATGTGCACAACATAATACTCTGTTTAAAGCTCTGTCAAAGGCTTTGATCTTTTTTCTGGGTTTTTATAAAAAAATATTTTCTTTGGTCCAGATGATATTTTGTCATACTAAACCTAATGTAGATGAGTCAATGACACACAAATTCAGAATCAATATAATTCTACAAAATATGCTTACCATCTGTGTGGGGTTTTAAGGATCCTCATCCTGGAAGAAAACATCCCAGAGTATGATCAAAGCACATTCATGTATATATGTAGATGCTGTAGTGAGACTCATCAAAAATCTATAAAATGGCTCCCTCACCCTGGCTGAAACATATACTGCAGAATGACAGACAAGGCTTTCCCTCTCTCTCTCTCTCTCTTTCTTTTTCTTTCTGTTTTTCTTTCCTTCTTTCTTTCTTTTCTTTCTTCCTTTCTTCATTCCTTTTTTTTTTTTTTTGCCAGTCCTGGGGTCCAAACTGGGCTTGGGTACTGTCCCTGAGCATCTTTTTGCTTAAGGCTAGCACTCTACCACTTCATCCACAGCACCACTTCCAGCCTTTTCTGTGATTAATTGGAGATACACCACAGCACCACTTCCAGCCTTTTCTAAGTGTATATGATTAATTGGAGATAAGTCTCATGGACTTTCCTGTGATCCTCAGTTCTCAGCCTTCTGAGTAGCTAGGATTACAAGCATGAGCCACTGGCACCCTGTACAAGGCTCTTTTAAACCTATTATATTTTATACATCCAAACCCATGTCTCTTTTTTCTCTCCCTCCCTCCTTCTTTCCCTCTGCCTCCCTCTCTCCACCCCCTTCCTCATTGTGCGTGTACTGGGGCTTGAATTCAGGGCCTTGAGCGCTTGCTTGGTTTTTTTCACTCAAGGCTAGCACTCTACCGCTTCAGCCACAGCTCTACATCCAGC